GATCTAAATCAAAAATTCCAGAATTCAACAATTCCACGTGTTAGAGTTTTTTGAATCAAACCTTCGAGTTTGATAGTTTTTAAGATCTAAATCAAAAATTCCATGTGTTGGCGTTTTTTGAATCAAACTAGAACAAACTTTCGAGACCAGCTTTTAAGACCTTAAATCAAAAATTCCAGAATTTAAAAATTCCACATGTTGGCGTTTCTTGAATCAAACTAGAACAAACCTTCGAGTTTGATAGTTTTTAAGATGTAAATAAAAAATTCCACAATTTGGCGTTACTTCAATCAAAACAGAACAAACCTTCGAGTTTGATAGTTTTTAAGACTTAAATCAAAAATTCCACATGTTGGCGTTTCTTCAATCAAACCAGAACAAACCTTCAAGTTTGATAGTTTTTAAGATCTAAATCAAAAATTCCACGTGTTCTCGTTTTTTGAATCAAACTTGAACAAACCTTCGAGTTTGATAGTTTTTAAGACCTAAATAAAAAATTCTATATGTTGGCGTTTCTTGAATCAAAACAGAACAAATCTTAAAGTTTGATAATTTTTAAGATCTAAATCAAAAATTCCATGTGTTGTCGTTTTTTTGAATCAAACTCGAACAAACCTTCGAGTTTGATAGCTTCTGAGATCTAAATCAGAGATTCCAGAATTCAAAGATTCCACGCGTTGGAATGTTTTATTTTTTTTTTTTTAGTCGAAAGACATCTCGTTATTAGTCTAAAGTCTGCGACGAAAGCATTTTAAAAGAGAAAGTCAAATTTTTGGATTTTGGGTGTGAGCGTTTCATTCGGTGAAACTACTTCGATAAATCTTCTCATATTGGTTGGAAAATTAGTTGGAAAATTTCCCTTATCCCACGGTTGTACAATTTGAATAATACATTAGTTAATTTCACGGTTGTTTCCGTGAAGAAAGATGCACGTGATAGATATTCGTGACAGTCCATTACCTAGCCCTAATGGATTCATTTCCCCTGAGCGTGTAAATTAAATCCCAATACTTGGAACTATTGCTTATACTATAAATTATTTCGTAAAACACCTTATCAGCGTCCACGTTTCAAAATTCAACCAATTTTAAACGAGAATAATAATAATTCAAGCATAAAAGAGGAGAATCTTGTTATTGCTATACTATATTATAGTATATATACATATATACTATATTATATATTATATTACAGTATATATACATATATACTATATTATATATTATATTACAGTATATATACATATATTATAAATATAATATATAATACATATATTATATATATATTATAAATATAATATATAATACATATATATTATATATATATATATAATACATATATATTATATATATATATATATATATATATTATAGTATATTGCTATACTAAATTATTTCGTGAAACACTTTATTGATGCCTAAATTATTCAATCAACTTTTAATAATTCAAGCAGAAAATCGGGGATTTGTCGAGCAGAGAAGCAATCTCGAATGTTAAGTCTTTTGTAGCCAATTACAATATCTACAAATCGATTTATTTACAAATCAGTTGTATGTACAAATTCCAGTTATGTATCTTATCTTCGATCGTTAAACTGATTGTTAATTTCAACTACGTTGTTTCGATCGAGAAATCGCGCAATCTTATTATATTTCTATACAAACAACTGTGAAATGTGAAAGATATGAAATCCTTTGTTTACGCCTGAATAATCACGGATGAATAAGTATAATGGAAGAGCACACATGTTACGAATGTCTGTTATAAAATGTTATAGAAAAACTGTCTGACTTACCCACGATTCCTTGAAGATCTTGTTGGCGATGATGCTGGTGCTCTCGAACATGTCCTTGCCAGGGCCAGAGGCGAAGCACATCTCCTTCCTTCCGGGGCAAGTGTAGTGTTCGGAGCAATTGTTGCCGGAGAACTCGCATTTCGGGCCACGGGTGTTGGGCGAAACGTCGCCGAGGTTGCTGGAGGCGAACGCTGCCACGAACGAGCCCTGATTTCAACGAACTTGGGTTACGACGACTCTCCACTCAGCACAAAAACAGTTGCATTCTCCTCTTTTCTTTTATATTAACGAAACCACACTGACGCGAAGTGGAGAAATTACGTTTGGAAGATTTCAATTTTTAAATTTTAAATTCTACTTTGGAAGATATCAATTGTTAAATTTTAAATTTTACTTTGGAAAAATTTCAATTTTTAAATTTTGAATTTTACTTTGGAAGATTTCAATTTATAAATTTTAAATTTTACTTTGGAAGATTTCAATTTATAAATTTTAAATTTTACTTTGGAAGATTTCAATTTTTAAATTTTGAACTTTACTTTGGAAGATTTTAATTTTTAAATTTTGAATTTTACTTTGGAAAATTTTAAATTTTACTCTGGAGAATTTTAAATTTTAAATTTTACTTTGGAAGATTTCAATTTTTAAATTTCGAATTTTACTTTGGAAGATTTCAGTTTTTAAATTTTAAATTTTACTTTGAAAAATTTCAGTTTTAAAATTTTGAATTTTACTTTGGAAAGTTTCAATTTTTAAATTTTAAATTTTAAATTTTACTTTGGAAAATTTCAATTTTTGAATTTCGAATTTTACTTTGGAAAGTTTCAATTTTTTAATTTTAAATTTTAAATTTTCCCTTGGAAAATTGTAAAAATTACAGCGCAATAAGTAAATAAAGTCCAGACACAGGATTCTTAACCACGTTGCGCTGGCAACTGATTGCGGACCATAACGAGTGACCGAACCGTATACAATAATATCGTCCCTTTCTTTTTGAACTCGTCGATGACACTGGATAGAAATTATTGAGAGGTAACAAATTTATTATTTGTTTTGCCTATTTTGTTTTACTTAGATATACTTAAAACTGAGAAAATATTGAAATTTTGGGACAAAAAATTCTCGACGTGCGTGACACGTCACTCCAGCACACGAGGTTGAGTTATTAAGATAAGTTTTATTGCAATCCACGTTGTGATCGAGATATTGTAGACAAATTATTCGTGAATTCGACGTTCGACAACGAGGAATTCTTACCTTGCCGGGCAACGAGTCGTTGTTTATGATCTTCTCGAAAAGGATCGAGGCGTAGCCAACGTTGTCGCTGGACACCAGGTGGTTGGTGTTGTTCATACTGGTTGGATGAATCGCGAACCAATTAATTACACCCAGTGGCCTGTCGTCAGCGTCGACGAATTGCACCTGCGTCAAGACCTTATCCACGTCGTGCTTGTACCTGCGTTGCATCAGAAAATAAATTTAATTGTAGATCAAATTCATAGAGAAAGACGAAATTGAAATTAACAATTAAGAGACTTAGGATTAAGATTGACAATTTAACTTAACTTGACTTATAATTGAACTTGAAATTAAATTACCGAAAAACAAATGTAGAAAGATATAGAAGAAGGTTGCTCGATCCTTGTGAAACATAAA